TCTTGTAGGTACTAGTAGTCGATGTATTAATTTACGTCAGTGAAAATTTGCTTTTGCTTCATAGCAAACGGTCTGCTGTGCGCTGCGCAACTGTGCCAACAGTGCTGCCCGATTTATCACTTTTCTTTTGCCTATTTGATCCATCAAACCAACCAGATTTGACTGCAAAAATTGTAAAAAATGTTGTAGATTAGCAAAAAATTAGAGACTTTCTGATCAGTACAATGATTCTTTTTGCTAATTTTTCACAAATTTTTGCAGCGACATGGACGGAGGCAATAAAAATCGAATGTAAAGTGCAATAAGATGATGCATTTTTTGTTCATGTTTAACTTAAGAAAATAAATAATTTTAAAAGCCACCAAATATGAATTAAAACACAACTCATTTTCAAGGCGCTTTTTATTTTATTTTGCTAAGGCAGTTATATTGAGTTTATTTAGTTTTGCGCTTCTTTACTACTTAATTCATAAACTCCTGTGGGGAATGGCGTTGAGAGAAACAAAAGAGAGAAGGTCAGAAATAAATTAACTATTAACATTCCAGTCCGTATACGTTCAATTGGTGAAAAACTAACAAAAAATAAATAATGCTCGCCAATAAATGTGTGTAACGAAATTAAGCATATATTTTGTTCTGTCTAAAGAACTCAAAACATACATTTCGGAAAACTTTTAAAGCTTAAAAACTAATTATTGTAAGCCTGAAATTGTAGCATGAGTTGCCAATTTTTTGGAAAATGCGAGAATTAACAAAAGTGAAAAATTTGTTTCGCGATAATGCAACAACTGCGAAAAAATATTTGACAACGCAAAACAAATTTTTCAGTTTACCTGTACTAAATGAAAATTTAAAATCTTCAGAACATGATTTTAACTGTTTTTTTTGTTAATCCTAACATGGAACTGTTTTAATTATTTTTCATTACTGTTTCATAAAAAAACAAAATTATTTACTTTTGTAAACTTTTTCAGTCATATCATCGAAGCTAGAATCTTGAATGTTTAACATCAAGCTATCGGCAGAGAGGTAGACCTTGTTCTGTGAGCTAGCGATCTAAAAAAAGAAAAACAAAGAAAATTTAAAATAAAATATCGTAAGCATTGAAAATAAGAGAACTTACAGTTCTTGCTATACTTTGAGCAGCGCGAATTTTACGCAATTTCAAGTAGGCGGGATTTTGTTTTACAGCAAGGCCCAACATTTTGGCTGCTTCAGCCTCACCCTCGGCTTGCACAATTTTCTGTTGCTTCTCTTGCTTGGCGCGCTCAACAAAGAAGACTGCGCGTTGTGCTTCCTGCTGTGCAACCTGCTTGGCTTCAACTGCAGCGGTATATTCCTTGCCGAAACTCAGTTCAGTGAGTGAAACATCATCAAGAATGATATTGAAGTCACGTGCACGCTCCACTAATTCTCGGCGGATAAGCAGCGAAACCTGCAAACGAACGATGGCATGAAACAATAACTAGTTTTCGATGTAAGCTACAGAGTAATTTACCTGCTGACGTTGTGTAATCAATTGTGAAGCATTGAATTTGGCCACCACACTTTTTAGCACTTCGTTGCAAATTGAGGGCAAGACTTTCTCATCGTAATCGACACCAAGCTGACGATGCAAGATGGGAAGACGCAAGGAATCAGGACGAGAAAGCACACGCAGAGAAATGTTGATCATCTGTAAATCCTTAGAACCAGTCGGTGATGAAATCTTACGAGGACGAGAGCGGATGTCATATACAATTGGATATTGGAACCAGGGAATGCGGAAATGTAAGCCTTCAGAGTAGATCTCATTCTGTATACCCCCAAGACGGCTGAAAATGATAGCACGATGACCACCATCCACTGAAAATTTTCATAAACATTAGCTACATACATATATACATGATCAGTAAGATCTAGAAACGCTTCTAAACGGCTTGATTTGTGGTTATGCAACCGGTTGGGCTCGCCCTCAGCCGGCTCTTGACAAAACATTAATCTAACTTCAAGGTTTAAAAATACATCTAGGAAAGTTTATATATGTTTAGACTGCAGTTCATTTAAATGGTCTGCAATTGTACCGAAACGTTATGAAATTACTTCGGCTCGTTTGCAATGCAACTGATAATGGCTACATTGAGGTTATGTCATCAACATGTTTTTATACATATTTTATATGTTCTAATTCTTTTAACTTATTAAGAAATTCATACCTGTGTATAAAGACTGATTGATAGCGTAGGCAGCGGCACCAACTGCCCCCAGCAGCTTTAATCCCACGGATAATCCTGGTGGACCACCTTTGCCGAATTTTCCAGCCAAGTCATTTAGTTTACTCTGTGCCATTGTCAGCCGCTGTTATGAGCAGAAAGGCGCAAACGATTATTTATTGTAATTTATAAGAACTTTTGTGGAATATACTTACAGTTAAATGCAATCACAATTAATTATTTTATGCAAAGAAAACCAAAAACTTGAAAAAGTCCGACTGTAAAATTTACCGCACTGAAAAAGTTTGACTATTGAACTAACCAACTCAGGGTTGCATAGGATCTGTAACCTTAACAGTGGTGTACACATGCGTTGCTTTATATCCAATAACTCCATTCAGATCACCCATAATGTATGAAATAAGAAGGTCGGCATAGAAACTAGTCCTTTCCGTCCGATCAAATATCGCGACTCTGGATTTCGTCCATTCAGAGCGCCTGCCGGTGGAGAAGTTTGTAAGAAGCGGCTTGGAACCAAGTCCTTTCCAACCGCTCAGTTGTGGCGGCTCTGGAAATTACACTCTTAGACCACATATCGTATGTGATATATTTACGGTACTGCTTGAAATCCCGTCCATTCCAACAGCATCTAGAATATGCTATCTTAGTTAAATATACATACTATTATATAGCTTAGAAGGAAACGTGTAACAGGTTAACTTATTTTAAGCATTAAATTTACCTCAACTTTTATTATATATTGCAATACATAATTCAAATGTATATACGTGAATGTATATAGGTCAAATGACTGTAATAAATAAATAAATAAAATTGTATGTTTATTTCTCGCAAGAAAGGTTTGAATATATATATATATATATATGCAAAGAACGTAAATGATCTAACAAAGGGAACAAGCGTAGTTGGCAGAAACAAAGAACGTAATGTACGTTACGTTCGTTATGTACGTATTACGTTCTTCGGTAAATTAAACTTGTTGCATGTAAAGGTATGGCAACGACGCAATCTAATTAGAACATTTAATTAGCATCTCTGCATTTTCGGAGTGTGTGTCAAGTCAATCTTTTATTTTTCGTTTTTCCAAAAGTATTGTGATGCTTCTATTGTCTTGCATTCGCGTTTGTGTAAATATTTTAGTGAATCTTACTAATATTTAGGATTATTTATCGAGAAATAATTACTTTTCGTAACAATTAAAGTAATTACTTAACATACGGATACAATGCAATCGATTGCGTCTGGTGAAGCGGAGCCAAGCAATGGCGCGGCGACAGATGTATCATTGCGTTTCTATTCATTCTTGCCATGCACACTACCGAAAAAGAGTGAGTAAAATGTTGTTTTATTATAAATTAATGTTTCAAAAGCCATGTAAACCTTTTTATTACAGCATTTACAAGCCCCAAAACAAGTGGTTATTGTACAGACAATAGTGGTGTGCTTGTGATTAACGATAGCGATGATGAGGGTTCATCGACTATATCTGCTGTTTCAGAGCCACAATTTGAGTTTCTGTGCGAAATTGATGTTGATAAGAACATCGCGCTACCTCGGCCCATAGAGCTTAAAGTAGAGTGTAAGAAGGAGCCTGAAGTAGATTTTATTGAAGTTCTGCAAGAGAATGGAAAACAAATAAATGAAAAACAACAATCAATCCACAACGCAGCTACAGCAGATTATAGTGATTGTGAGGATGAGCTATTGGCATTGTGCAAAATAGAACCAGTATGTGACCTTAACGAGGTCTTGCCAAACAATGCATCAGCAGAACATGAAAATCACTACATCTACTTCACATGTCCCCAATGTGGCGAGCGTCACGATTCACATCCACACTGGCGACGGCACATTGTGTCGGCGCATCAGCTAGGAGATCAAAAAAATTGGAATTTTAAGCGACGTCCCAACAACGAATTCGAATGCTTTAGCTGCCGTAAAGTATTTACACGTTGCACACTGAAGACATTACAGCAGCATCACTTTACACATTTGCCACACAAAGTGTACCATTGCAAGTTGTGTCCATTCGAAGAGCACAGCATGTTTTTAATGATATCGCATATTATGCTGCATAAGGAAAAAGATGCCAGTAACAGTGGAAATGCTAAAAGTAGTAATGGTGCACCCACAGCACGCGAAATTGCCCTATGGGAACATGAGAGTCGCGCCTTGATTGCATACATTTGTCCAGCTTGTGGCTTAACGTTTGATGCAGAGGATGCCTGGCAGGCGCATATAAACTTCAGGTAAGTAATAAGATGCATTTATAACGATAATTTAAAAGTCTGCAGTTACTATATTGACAACAAAAGATTTACCTTTTGAGATGTCTACTCCCACAGTTCTTTAATTTCCTAATATGGCAGTAATTTTAAGTACAAACGCCCGTTTCGATTTCTTTTTGGAAGCGGCACTTTAGTCTAACCATTTCACAATCAAAGACGTTTGGATTTCATATTTATGCTATTACAACACAGTATTAAAAATTCCCGAGTATTATATACATTGCTTATCTATAATAGTAATAATTTTATTGACGAATTTTGTACTCTTATCTCACGCACATATTTACCTTTTATTACCTCTATTACAGCCACAATTTCTTGGAGAAGACGGCCGAAAATCGCTTCGGCGATCATTTCAAATGTTCCGAATGTGCCGTAGAAATCTTCTCTCAGCATATTTCCGATCTTCAGCAGCATCTGTTCACACATTTACCTTACAAATCGTATTTGAAATGCAAAATATGCAGCTTTACAATTTCGCGCCAAAATTTTATGCTTTCCCACATACTCAACCTACATAAAGTGCATCTAAGTGCAGGAGCCGCAACAAAGAATAGCGATAATGTAATTACAGCAGACACTTCAACAACAAGCGGCATATCCCCTGCACCAGTAACAACTACAACTAAATCACCGAGAGAAGAAAGAGTATACAATAGTCGTTTATCATCTGGTAGTTTAATGGACACAAGTATGAATGCAAGTACATTGAACGCATTGCGACCAACTTCGAGAACCTTCAATGAAACAAATAATGTAAATAGTCGTAGAGTTTCCACGCCAAACACACAATTCAATAACACATATGTTCGAGATCAACTAATGATGTCAACAAAAAAAGGCTCTTTTACTTGTAGAAAGTGTACTAAACATTATATGTATAGAAAAAGCTTCAGTAAGCATATACGCTACTGCGATCCAAGCAACACAACAATTTAAGTGATACATACTTGACAACGCTAAGCGAACACATGCACCCGCGTACATATGTTTGAAATGTTTACACTGGACATAAACTCGCGCAGTAAGGAGTAATAATAACAATTTTATCTACATTCCATATTTGTTATTGTATTGGGTGAATGAAATTATTGTTGTGCACACACAAAAATCCATTTGTTTTTACACTTAGCACTATTTTGCTTGACAAGACTAACAGCCGCTTTCACCAGCGGTTTAAATGGAAATATACTTTTTATTTTCTATCGATTTCCATAAAAAATTAAAAAAATTAAAATCATTTTTCACCTAAATTGCTTTTCTGAAATTGGCTGTTAGAATTGTTAGAGAGAGCTTCGGTTGAGTTGACCCAATAATATATTTTTTAACATTTTAAGTTACATTCTGCTATTATTTTGTTTAAATAAATTAAGCGGGTCGAGTTTCTAATTATTTACTTATCACTTGCTATTTTAAGATTTTACATAATTTTTTCATCAGTGAAAAAACCATTTACCATTTTTGTTTATCTAACAATCGTAAGCCTAACTCTTTACCTAAACTGAGTTAAGTACAAAGTGAAATTTTTTTTAAAATTATAAAACAAAAATGAAATAAAACACACACAATTGAATTTATAAGTAACAAAAAAAATATACTTTATTCCTATATTACAAATATGTATAAATACTAAATAATTCGAGGATAAAATTTTACAAGTATCTAATTGTATGCATGTATTTAATTACATACATATGTGTATATGCAATTTTGTATCAAGTGTATGAATAATACGTATATGTGAATATGTATATGATTAAAATAACCTAATCTAAATCACACCGTGATAAACTTTAGAAAACTAAAGACACACTGACAAGCCCTGATAAAGGTATTATTGCATTGAGAAGCCATTAAATATTTTGTATGTACACATACATAAATATTCTGACATTATGTCACATATCATGCAAATTGCGACTCTCATTGCGTCCGAAGTTAGTATCCCGCAAGTAATGTGCTGTTTGGTCGTTGAGCAGTGACATTACAATCGGTTTGAGGCTGAGCAAAGAGGCCAATTTATATTTGAGTGTGACAGATTTTACCAAAGCCACCAGTTGCGCCAGATGCTCCTCCATAGCTGGACTGATACGATGGTGTTGCGCATAAAGTTGAAAACTACGTGTGAAATGAATATGAAGAAAAACATAATAAAAATTCAATTGGACTAGGTTTAGGTACTCGTACATACATACATAAATATATATGAATTTTCAAGGGCAAATCAGAAATAGACGAAAATAATAAAGCTCTTTCGCACAAAATTAGTCGGCCATCAAAGCTTTATTGTTCGAATTAATACATATAGTAATTTTATAAGTTCTCTAGTGATAGTATACTCCATACATACATACTATATACATATTATGTATGTACATATAGTTTTCAAAGTCAACGCCTAAATGCAACCTAACTTTGCTATGCCAGAGTACTTATAAGTAAACTTATATATACATTACTCATTTCACTGGCTAGATTGCAGATGAAGCGATTGCTATATTTTTCAGTTGATATAAATTTGTTTCAACTGAGTTCATAATTCAAGATGTTGTTTTGATAAAATAGTTTTAAAAAAAATAAAAAAAAACAATGTTTAGAAAAGTGTCTTTGTTTATCTGCATTGACACGAAAGCTTCTGTGTTCAAGCAAGAGTAAGAAGAATAATTTTAAACGTAGTCTTTATTGTTAATTTTTAACCGACTTCACAAAAAGGAGGAAGGTTATCAATTCGTCGGAATATTTTATTTTTATGTACCGCATAAATTTGGTACCACGTTAACCGATTTCTACAATTCTTTTTTTAAAGGAAAGTTATTACCTCACAGGTGGTCCCATTCTAATTTGGTTTAAATCTGATCATTGGATAATGAAGAGATTAACGGTAATCTTAAATTTTTATATGAGAATTGAAGTCGGTTTATTTTTTTTTTTTGATTACAAATTACTTGTTATTTCTGTGGTCATAAGCAATAATCGCCTAAGTCGAAAAACCTGAATTCGAGCAAAAACGTTTTAAACATTTGGAGATTGTAATGTTAACCTTATGGGAAAACCCAAATATGTTCGTACATAACTTTTTAAATAGTCTACATGGAACAGTAGTTGCAGAATACGATAGCATATATAACTCAATTCTTCCGTAAGTCGACTTAGGCGGTTATTGCTTATGACCACAGATTGATGGTTAGTGATGAGACTCTTGTAAAAAAAAAAGTTTAGGGGAAAAAACAGAGAAAGGTATCTTCATTTTAAACCAGTGTGCTTGTGTACTTTGCCTGACACTGCTTTAAACAAAACTGTAGAACTTAAAAAGCTGATAGACTTTACGCTTTTATAAAACTAAGGTATTGAATTTGAAGTTATTGGTCCTCCATTTTGTGCTGTGAGTCTTGATGTTGGGAGAGAGAGACCTATACTTTTACTTCGCTTCCGAATGGTAAATGATGTGGAGCTTTTTTATGACAAAAAAGCGCTCGCAGATTTGCCTTTGCCTGCTTATTGGCTAGCTATCTATTAAATAAAAAAAAAACTGTGTATGCTAATCAGTTTAGGAATTGATTCAAGTGGTAGTCTGTATCCTAAATAATTCCACTTTTGGGTGATCAGATCGACCCGGACTTATTTCTAGCCAAGGACTGACGACAAAGCCTTTCCAAAAATTTCTTGACGAATTTGCATGCTACTACAACAATGCCATTTTTAGCACTCAGTTTTTAAATATATTAACAATTTCATTTTAATTTCACTGCTCTGATTTCCATTTCCGTATTCAATCACATTTTCCTCTAACATAAAGTGCCACTTACCCCTTAACGGTATTGTCAATTATATTGTCGCTGACTTGAAGATATTGTAAATATTCTTGAAGATAATTCGTATGTCCAAGTATGATATATTGCGAGAGCAGCACTTCCGACCAATTTATGTCGTAGCCACAAGCACGGCTGAGTATTAGGGCCTGCGGTACACTGGAAAATAAATTATTATTATTTTTTTTTTAAGGTTATAGAGCAAAAAGTGAATGTTTAAACCGTGCGACAGTAAATTTTATACGGCAAAAATCATTACTCTCGCGAAACAAGGGGCCAAATAGAGTAAAACTGCGCTTTTAGTTTTTCTCTCTGACGTCAGAATTTTTTTTAAAGGACTTTCCAATTTCAAAGATATTAATACAATAAATCATTTAAAAATCTAGTACAATGTAGAATAACAACATGCGTATCAAACGAGAAACAAAATTCTTTGAAATGGAAAATAATAGATTTTTTTTTTTAGAGCACAAGGACGAATAAGTATTGATAACATCCTTTTAAAATTTTATCCTTGGACATCCTTGAAATTTTGCAATATTGATTTTTGAAAAAGTTTCATGTTAACGGCATCAAAAATTAAAACTTAATCAAAATATCTAGAAAATTTTCTGGAACGCAGTTTTACGGATCATCAAATTTTACTAAAATAATGTGCAAATTCGATTGGCGTTGAGATTCTTTATAATCTTCCTGCTTCCATATAAAAAAATTTCGTATAATGTCTCACTCCTATTATTTTGTTGAGCACTGTGCATTAACTGTGAAACAATTTTTTCCTTATTTTCTTTTAAATACATAATTATGTAATATTTTAAGCTTTGTAATTGTTAGCACAAAATTAAGAAGTTTAAAAAATCTTAAAAAAGACAACGATTTTGAAACAATACAAAATTGAACGAAAACCTGTACGAAAATGTATCGAGAAAAATGTGGTGTAACCATCTATTTATCAATAGAGTACTTTTCCAATAAACGTTTTAGATTTAGATGCTCGTATTTAACCTTTTTTTATTTATTGAAGCGGCTCTGGGTCACAGAGAATAAGAGCGAGCGAAAAACAGAGGGCTCTAATTAACCTACCCAAAATGAAAAGATTAACAATCTCTTTGAAAAGCAAAACAAGTTGGAGAAAGTAGACGAAATTGGAGAACAAACATTGCCCTTTTGTGGGCTACACAGCTGCAAAACAAGCAACTTGGGTGAAAGGAGCCTACCATCGATTACTACTATGGTTAGCGATTTTTCACTCCTAAGCATTTTTATTAAATAACTGACAGGTCTTTCTTATTAGATATAAAAATTAGATCGTTCTTGCTTCACAATAAAGACCTTAAGAAATGTGTTCGTGATTATGATAAAGCTACATATATATATGTATCTCAATAAAACTTGCTGTAAAGGAGAGAATACCTATTTTGAAAAAAAAAAACAAAAAAAAAACGTTCTCATGCTTTTCCTCTCACCTCAGCTCCGCATTGATGAGTTCACGAAATTCGTCTCGCGTCTGTACGTTCACCACACAAACGCATAGATGCGGCTCCGGTGCATTACGATCTAGAGCCTTGTTGGCCAAATCAATCTGCATGGCCATCATTTCCGCCAACGATGCGACACGTTGTGCCAGCAGCAGTTTATTGTCAAGCAAATAATTTTCGGTGGCATGCGTGTAAAACTCCATTGCCTGCTGTAGCAGTGTGAGCAAATCCGGTGTGCAACGAAGTTTGGGAATGAACGTCTTCGTTGGATTTGCAGACGTCAAATTGGCCATGGACAATTTTTCAGGTAGCTGTGCGCTACCCACCGCCGACAGATTAAGCACCTTTGCTAGCACTGCTTGTGCATCTTGCTCCCACATTTCGGCCAGCTCCTGATACATAAGAAAATGCAACGCCGTCAGCTTCAAATATTCACGCCCGTTGTTTGGACAATATTCGCGCAAATATGTGATTATGGCTTGTCGTAGCCCTATCGTTTTTTCTTCATCGAATTGTCCCAGTAGTGATTCAAATTGTTCATTCTTCAGCAGCGAATCAAAGCAGTAGAACATTTCGCGATAGCGTCCTATGCCGCTGAGCATGCGCACAATTAGCGACCAAGATTTGGCCTGCGTTAGCACGGCATTTAGTGCTTTGGCGCGATTCAACACATTTGCTATGCCCTCCATGGAGCATTCCTGTACGTAACATTGATGTGCCTTGATCAGTAACTCTACATATATGATGTTTTGCTTCTTGTGTGACAACACCTGCGCCGGTGGCAGCTTTGGACCACCTCCGGTCGAGGCGGTAGTAATCGGTGGAATGGAAGCGTTTATTTGGGATCCGCTATTAGTTGGTAGCCCATAACGACGTATGATTTCGGCAAGGCGCTCAAAGACCGTATTATGCTCGTAGGGTTTATTGTCTTGAAATTTACGATATGCTTTGAGTGCGTCACAGTATTCCAGTAAGCAATTGCCTAGCTTAGTTGTGTTGGGCACCAACTCAAGGAAAAGATGTAGATCACGATCAATGTTGTAGCCCCAAACGGGCGCATTCTTGATAGCGTTCTTAGATTGCTGATCGGCGGTGAAAATGTAGAAGCGCGGACGTACAATGGCGGTGGTCAATTCTGAGGCCAGTAGCTCTGCGATCTGCGGGAGAATTAAAGTTCGACCGATTAGAGATAAGAAAATATTTATATTTCCTGAAACAAGTCAAAGGAAGAGTCCATAATTTGTAGTGAGTAGGTTAAAATTCGACTATTTGCATAAAAAAGGTCTACCTACTTCTTGCGGTGTCATATGCAATGATGTGAGTATGTCGCTCACAACCAGCAATCGGTGCAGGCAACTCTCCTCCGCGACACTTTGCAGCAATACGGTTGTATCTTTAGTGCGCAGCACATCCAGGTACTCTTTGTCCAAATACATTGCGGCGCGATAGGCCATCACAATGCGACGCCCAATAGTTACACCATAAGTAAGCTTTGAGGCTATGCCTTGTATGGTCTCCAAGGTTTCACGCTTTTCCTTAGAGGGTATCTCCTCGAATTCGAAGGTGGAGCTACTGTCCGACATGTCGCTGCTTATTTTCGTTGATGAATATTTTCCTAACGAAAACGTTTACCTTTGTATTGCAATATTTATTTGAAATTTCGAGTTTACCTTCTCTTGTCAGCAGTCCACTATCCAGTGTACGTTTATTGAATTTCGCAAAAGAGCTTATCTCTATGTCGCGTAACATTTGCCGTTCCTCTGAAGACATGCTGAAAATTGTTGTCACTCCCTCCGCAAGCGCCATGCAAAAGACCACAAATCGTAGATCAATTGGTCGGCATTCGAAAAGCTCCTGCAAACGCAGCGACTCTACAATATCGCCTTTGTCCAGCAGCAAGTTGAGCAAAGATTCCAGTCGCGTTTCCATTTGCTTGGTTAAAGGTTGCTTTATACTCACATTGAGATCTTCAATACCGGCGAGTTCCTTCAATTCCAAGAAGGACTTATATAATACACCACGTTCATTCAACATGATCTGTTCGTAGTATTCAGAATGGTATACATCCATTTCAGTCGCTGTATCATCGTCCAGCTGCAAGTAGCAAATAATCATTTCATATTCAATTTGATCCCGGTCGAAAGACTCATTCGGAAATAGATGATGCTGTTTTATAACATTAAGTGCGCGTTTCAATAGTTGATATTTGCGAGCGCAGGGCTTCAAAAGCCGGCCAGCCGCATAAAGATAAAAGTTCACAAGCAGTTCCGGTGGCAGTGAATGTTCCGCTATCTCATCTTCGTAAAGCTGGAATGTGGCAACAGAATATGGCTCTTCGCCATCTCTTGTCTCAGCTTCCTCGAGCTTGCTGACCCATTTGGCATATACAATATCACTGATGGGCTGTTGCAATAGCGTTGCCAAGCGCACAGCCAAATCATATTCGCGCTTCTCGCGTAAAACTTCCAAAAGTTGCGTGTACATACGATTGTTGTGCAGTGCAAGTTGCTCAAAATCGATGGGATAACTTTCGGCCCAACCGGGACTTGTCTGAAGTGCTTCGAATACGGCATGCAGCAGACAAAAGTCCATCAAGCCACTCATGTCGCCCATATCGGAGCGACACATGCAGCTAATGAACTTCTGCTGATCCAACGTCGAGTCAAAGTTGTGTTGTAAATGCACGAGAAGAAGGCGTATGCTGTGCTGCATGAGCTCATCGCGTGGCAGTGTTGCACAAAAAGGCATCTCCAACGAATCGTTACTCCAAGCTAGCAGAAAGAGGCGTAGGGAATGCACATCTTCGTCATCAAAGCACCGCTTGTGTTGAGTGCGTTGCAGAAAACGGCATAAATGCGTGCAGGCATTGTCCTATATCACAAAGATTAAGCGGATATGTTAACCTTGCAATATAACAGGCAGGAAAAATTACCTTAAAGAAGATTCGGACGCTTCGTAGCAACAGTATTGTATCCCCTTGACGCACCGCAGTCTCCACCAGCAGCCAAGTCACTTTTCGTATATCAAGTGTAGCAAGTTTCAGCACTACGGTCCATTGATTAGTAGCAACAGCCAACCATACAAGCCACTGCCAATCGATGTTGGCCGGATTTACAGTGGCAGCTAGCACAGCCAAAACTGGCAGTCGATATTTCACGCAATTTCTGAGCAAGTTCCATGAGGTTGCGTGCACATGCTGATCTTGCATTAGTTCAAGGAACTTTGCTGCACTGTTAATGCGCTCCTCGTTAAGGGCGCTACTGCTGAGTAGTACAATTGCAAAAATGTCCAAACGTCCGCAAGCATCAGGTAGGAAGTGCAGGCGCTGTTGGCTGGGCGCAGTCCGGAATAGTGCATTATTTGGATCGTTGCAAGCCGAACTAAGCGATGAGTTAATAGTTTCGACCGAGGTTGTTGTAGGCTATTATAAAAACGTCCTCAGGGTTATAACATATATATTTTTAAATTCGGAAAAATACTCACATTTGCCTCGCCCTTACGTACGGGTTTCTTATGCTGACGCGAAAAGCTTGCATGACGCTTTGTTTGCGGTGGCAACTCACACAAAAATGCACGCAGCATATGTTCGCCCATAAGGCGAGTTTCAAAATGCTCGAGCAACAGTTGAAGCTGTGTCAGCGGCACCTCGAAGTATTGCAGCAGCACCAGCAACCGCCACCAATCATCGTCCCGAGCATAATACTGCAAAATCTTCATAGGCCATTGACGTTGGCCACTGCAGGCAACTAGGCGCATTAGCGCATGATAATCAGTTAAAGGAAAAGCAGTCGGCTCTTTCACAACGCTTTGAAGGAGTAGGGTTTCTATGCGTGCCAATAATCGCGAGTAACCTTTGGCGGGTGACTCAGCTCTCGTCGGGTACAACTCCTCCTCATTTTCTTCCAACAAGCGACACAATTTTAAGTAATTACGCAAATATTGCGAATCGTAGCCAAGCATTTCGATGAAGGCAACACAGTGTACCACCAGTTCAGAGTTATTGGCATATTGCAACGCCATTTCGGTAACAGTTTCGCATGCACTAAAGAGATGCCCCCGGGTCAGTTGGCCATACTGCTGCAAGTGATCCATGACAAGATAGTAGACCGCATAGCAGCTACGTTGTTGTTTCAAATAGTGAAGAAAATTTAGTTTATACTTTCGAGCATATTTCGCACACAACTTTTCATTGGAGAAGGATGCTATGCTGTCTGTTTGAAACTCTTTTGGTATTTCTTTTAAGTCAATGTGCTTGAATTTTCGCAGAAAGTCATAGGGTGTAGGCATGCTTTGGTTGTGTCCGTTACTGCAATTATTTGTTATACAAGATATGTTCGCATCACTGTTGTGAATAGGATTTCTGATAGGAAATGACTTTAAATATGGAATGTTTTGCAAAGCTGTTGTGGGCAAATAGCATTTCAAAGTTGCAACACTAGGTTCATTACTGAGAAAATCAAACAGTGTGACCAGTGGTTGCGAGCTATTGAAATCTACGCCTTGTTGTTCTAGATACACTTTGGTCGCTTGGAAAACCTAGTTTTGGTTAAACATTAATATTTTGCAACAGGTTGAAAATATTTAGATTTGCTTCAAACTTACTTTTTCAAAACCTTCCAGCTCATTTAGTTTATTTTCTTTAATTGCTACCAAAAATTTTAGTAGCGCCTCATCGTCTGGGAATTCTGGAAGCATTTCCTCAAGCTCGCGCACCTTAACAAAGTCTCGCAACATCAACATATGCAGCCCTCGATTAAGCAAAAAATGTCCGCTTGGAAGCTTTTCTAACAACTCCTGATTGCGCTCCAAACTTTCAGTTGTGCAGAGACGGCGCACTATTAATGCAACATCGTCTCTTTCATCGGCAAAGAAGTGCCCTGCAGCTGCAAAGCAGTTACGCAATGTTTCGTTTGGATTTTCTATTGTTTTTAGCGCGTATTCATACATTTCAGTTTCAAGTGTCCACTCGCAAAATAGTACTTCTAATTCAGTGTATTCCGGCTGTGGGGACTGGCCGCATAGAGTACACCAACGTACTAAATGCATTAGTTCAGCCGTTTCAACTAAATGACTCCACATATTAAATTTATTCAAACGACCTAATAGAAGTGGATTCCGATTCATGAAGTACAACTCCGCCAGCAAACTGTGTAGATATGACTCATTACAATGCACTAGTGTCTCGATGTTAACACGGCGTAGTTGCACTTTGCACTTAGCCAATAGTTCCGGACACTTTTGCAGCTGCTGCAGCAAATCCCAATAAAATTGCAACTCTTCCATATCACTCTCGTAATTCTGAGGATCTTTCTTTTGCAGATGATCCATTACAAGTTCACGTAGTTCTTCATCAACGCATTCGCAGGCGAACTGATAGTAGAAGCATTTAACGTCCCGTTTCACATTCAATAGCACCATTTCTGCTTTGCACACTAGTCGCTCAGTAAGCAGCCGGAGCACATAAGTTTGCACTACATCTTGAAAGAAGAGTTGGTACTCCGTTAGGGGCAGTTTTCGTTTGCGTGCCCAATACTCAATACAGAGATCAATGTTTTCACCTTTGGTGGCCACTTCTTTAATAAGCGCCACTTCACTAATACCAGTCCAAGATTTGAAGAGTTTATCGCGTTTAACCGTGGCACTCATGTTGTCGCCGAAAATGCTGTGTTGTTCAGGATAATCACTCGTCGGTCAACGCCAGTAAAATAGAATATTACATTTTCATTCACCCGCTGGAAGTGGTTTTCTTTGTTTGATGGGTTCAACGATTCTCTGGTTGAATTTTTCCGCTACGTATGCATGTAAATTCAAAGTTCTTATGCTGATAAACATCTAATGCTGTTTGTCTGCTTATTTTCCTCCAGTTTCCAACACCACTCGCTTTAATTAAATAACAAGAGCACTGAAATCGTAGACAAATGATGAAATGCAAAAATAGTTGTTATCAGCAATGCACCAAAATTTTAGCGCTGCTTGTATCGATAAAACGACGCCGTTGGATTGAGTGGTGGAGAGTTATTGCATCAAAATTACATGAAAATAAAGCTGAGTTGTAACAAACAAAGCAAAGATTAAATAAAAATCACTAGATAAACGAAATTGTTGTAGTTCAAGATTTCGATTTTAATTAAGTATTTGAATAAATTAATTACCCTTGCGATTATTTGCTTAGCAACGGCGGCGTAGTCTAACAACGTACATATGTTTTTTTTATCAGCTGTTGACATGCGCTGTTGCTCGGGCTGCCAAATTCCTTTTTATAAGTGTAATTAAAGGAAGGATAAAATGAAAATGTATTGGGATATCCCTTTCCATTTAATTTTAATTTTAGGGCTACACAAGCCACCTCGAAAGAAAAAAATAAATAACTATTAATAAATAGCTGTCACTTATAGTTGGTGTTTGTATGTTGTGTCGGGGGGATTTTGAGATTGCTGTAGTGGCCCTACTAAGCCCCGCTTAAATCGGTTAGTCCATCAGTCGTGGAAATCAAGGCAACTGACTCTAGGCCCAACAATCGCGCTGTTTCGACGATGTTGGACCAGAGGGTCAGAGGTCTTAGTTGAGTGGGATTCAGGTGGCATATGAAGAGGTGGTTGGTGTTGTGCGGGGAGACTCTACTTCTGGCAAGTCTGTAGCTAGTCCACTATGTCAAAATAGTTGTTGTTGTTGTTGTAGCAGCATACAAATTCCCCAAAGACTTTTTGGGGAGTGTTATTGGAGTGACAGTCCTTGGCCAGATATACATCTGGGTCGTTCCGGTTACGTAGACCCGACTGTCGTGGGAACGATGCCAAAATAGTCGCTTAAGGCGGTGATAAAATCTCTATGATTGCCGTGAATGGCTTGTCTGTACTTCGTTGAGTCCAATGGTATTCGAGAAGATGGGTGCCCTCTGACGTACCCCAGGTGGAGGTTCCGCTTCAAGCAAGTGACTCTTCGGGTGCTCGCGTCTGTACTAACCTAGTAAGAACTGCTTTCTGAGCATGGCGTGGTGATCCCTTCCTGGAAGTATTTGGTCATCAATGTGCAAGTGATATGCAGGCGGCATCAGAAGGTATCCTGTCGCTGTCCGCAGTGTGACGTTCTGGCAAGTCCATCCACCGCGTCCAGCTACCAAATAGATGCAGCATAATTCAGAACCGACCGGTAAAAAAAATACACTCGGGAGGTTTTCAATGTTAACCGAAGGGCACCGCTACTAGAAGAAAATATTTTGGCAACTTTCAAGTTTCGGGAAAAAGGGATTAAGTCGGGATTGCTGTTGTTGTTGCGCACTAATGCCTTCAACTGCTTACAGCTCAACTATCGACGAGATCGGACCAAAGGAAAAGTGTTGTTAGGTGTTGTTGTTGTTGTAGCGGCTACTAAGCCTCGTTTGGGTCAGTTCATCCGTCAACGGTGTCGTCAATTTCAGCTAGGGGGAGGCCCCGTGTGCGACTTCCACAGTGCAGCTGAGTGGGGTTATCAGGGCATGTGAAGAGATGCCGGGAGTCATGTGGCGACTCTCCACATGCCGGGCATTGGTTGGGCACAACCTCGTTGATTCTCCTTAGGTACGAGTTTAGCCTGCTGCAATAGCCAGAGCGAAGTTGGGCTGTTGTAGTACGAGTCTCCCGAGGCAGACAAAGTTCTGTCCGGTCTACGTTCGATGGTTGTGTGCCTAGAACGGCATTCACAGGGCGGGAGTCTACATAACTTGAGACTGATTCATATATTTGGAATGACGGGCTCGATTCTGGAAATGTAGGAGAGACAAAGTTGCAGTACGGAGTACGGTGTTCTGACAGTTCTTTAGTTTTATCCGTTGCGTCCTACAAGTTTCAGGTCCAAGGCTCATCCTTGATTGTGTATTGGACGGGAAAGGATCCGTGAAACAGGCAGAAAGGTATGAGAGATAGTACTTTACTTTTAAACGCAGGTTATAAATACTACATATTGCCGGACATCAAAATCGAGCAGTCGTCTGCGTATGAAATCAGTGAAATTCCATCCAGTAGCTGAGTCAGCTTCGAGGAGCAGAAGGTAAAGATTAGAGGGCTAATGACTAAACCCTATGAGATTGCTGGTTTAACTTGTCTTGGCTTCAACTTAATTTCGAAGGGGTACTAACGACTGCCGACCACTCAGAAAACTCCCCCTAAGCTCCTCCTTACCTGCTTCCAAGAAGGTCGCGAACAGTCCGGTTCCTCGTTACTCTCTATTCCCCTGTGGCTAGGTACCCACGCTAACTGGATGTTATTGATCACTCAAAGACTAAATCATTTCATAAGATAAGAAAGCCTTGAATATCACCTGGTTTTTACTTAGAACTACGATCCTCTCGTCTCCGTACCCTCTGTTTGTGATTGTCTCCGCACAACGATAGATAGCGTAGACTTACGCTCAAAAGATGCCAGGGGATATTTCCCCATAAGAGCAGAATTCCTGGTCCTGGGTCCAAGGATTCCAGCCCCTATTCCTTCTAAGGTCTTCGAGCCGCCTGTCTACTATCTGTCAGACCTCCAGATCCATTTCCAGGTTAGAAGCCTGTAAGCAGAGCCATTGCCCTAACTACTTTACTTTCAGTGCAGGTGCCATCAGTCCGCTTAAGGTTTAGATCTGATTCTACCGTTCCTCTGGCTAATGCTATAAGTTACACAAATATACATACGTACACATTTATTTATACTACGTAAGTCTGTATATGATCGTATATTTTGCCCATAAATTCCATTGAATCAACTTAGCTTCGCCTCTTTGTTATTGAGCTTCTGATCGCTTCGAAGGAATTTTTTAACCATATGTTGTTATTTTGTGGCATAAGATTCCTTCATACAGTTTTTATGCACAATATTTTTTAAACAGACCTCCCTTTTTTTCGATGCATATTAAATTTCGACACAAACTACTGTTATTCTCTACTAAACACTTCTTGCAATTGGGCTACTAGCGGCTGTGTAACTGTATCCGCGTGCAACGGTGCAAACGTCCTTCACAAAATGTCACAGCGCCTGACAGGCAAAGTGGAAATTAACGAATGTTGTTAGTATTTTCCTTTCACTTTTTTCTTTTTCTTGCCAACAGAGGTTGAACGTTGACCTCAACGGTGAATTGTTGAATATGCAAAGTTGTGCACAAGAATTGCTGCCTAAAACCAAATAGCGTGAGTAGTAGGTAATATAGATTATTGTTTAGCAGTAAATCATTCGCTAGGAATGCAGTAGTGACATGAAGACAATTGAACAATAAATGCTTGGAAACATGAGCATAAATGTACATATTATTATTTTTTTTTACAAATACATTCTAATTTTAGTAAATAAGCTTTTGATAACGTTTGAGTTCAAAGTAGTACTGCGTCGTATCGCCTGGATTTCAATAGGTCAATATCCTTAATCAATAAATCGAGTTGCGGTATAAGTATCGTCTGCTCCTTCATATCAATATCGCATTGTAATATTTAATTTAATTTAAGCATAGACGAAAGATATATCATTTTGCGTACAAATGATATCCATATTTTAATATTTCATTAAATGAATTTAACATTTGGACATGTGGCAACCCTATTCAAAATGTTTTCTATAAAGTTTTTTTACTGCTTCCTGTTACCTGATTAAATTTAAATCGGATTTTAAATAGGTGGCAACCCATTTCAAAAATTATGTTGAAATAAACTTTTCTTAACCTTCTTTTGTTAGATGTGACCTCATTTTGTAATGTTTTATGCAACTTCCTGACTAAATTTAATTTGAATTTGAAGCATTTCTTTACAAATAGTTTCGAAGCAAAGATCTCCTATACATACCTCTTTCGATTGACAGCATATTGGCTTATAAAATTGGAATTTACTTTTAAACAGGTGGCAGCATTCTTCAAAATATTTTCAAAATAAATTTCTCTTAACCCTTTGTCTACTGGCCGGATACAATGGACCCGAATGCGATTTTATTGTGTTCTTATATAAATATCTGATGCCTTTGAGCTCCGTAACTCCTTTACTTTGCTTATATTCACGTAGTCTATACTTTTTTGATAATGCATTTTTTTTTTTAATAATTGGTTTGCTATTGTAAATCCAGCAGGAACTACTAGCTCGGGTCCGTTGGACCCATATTATTACTTACATAGGGGTCCAAAAAACCTACACAGTAGGTAAAGCTAGTTTTCCCGCGGTAGACAAAAGATTAAACTCCGCTGGTGGCAACCCTCTCCAAAAGTGTTCTCGAAATAAATACAGCTTTCTTAAAACCTCTCCTTCTGGTAACCATATTGAAATATTGTTTTTAACTTATTTATTAAATCGTTTTTGAATTTCTAAACAGGTAGCAGCCACTTAAAAAAATATTTTTGATATTACTCTTTTTTAAATCTCTCTCGTTTGAGACTCATATCAAAATATTTCGCTTAGTTTATAATTAAAATATATTTTCGAAACAAATCGTTTTTTAGCTCCTTTCGTTTTACACCTACATCGTTGTAATATTTTATTTAGCTTATCAATTAAATGAATTTGTCTTTTGAAAAAGGTGACAACTCTCCTCAAAAAATGCCCTGTATATCAGTTCAGGTCAAGCTATTTGTATGTCAAATATTATTCAACAAATGTACTTACACTCACTTTAAAATTTTCACATATAACATATTAGTAAAATTTGTTTTTATTTGTCAATTAAATTACTCAGCTGGTGGCAACCCTATATAAACGGTTTCGCGAAAAAGATACAGCTTTCTTAAAACGTTTCTCGTCGTTTGAATTCTGTGGCAGCCACTTTAAAAATATTGTTGATATTACACTTTTTTAAAACTCTCTCGTTTAATACTCAAATCAAAATATTTCTTTTAATTAATTAATTAATTAGTTAATCGTTTTAAAATTGTTTAACAGGTGGCAACCCCTTAAAAATAATTTC